AAAAAGTTCTTTCATCGAAGTTTCACAAGTATCCATCCCAGATTAAACAATTTCTTCGATATCAGAAAGAATACTCTTTTCTGGCATAGCCATTTCATTCTACTTAATAGAACATATATGGACGAAAGTTTACTGCCGATGCATACTATGTTTAATTATATATATATATATATATATATATATATAATTTCAATTCTTCTCATTTCAAATACGGTTAATATATATATATATATATATATATATATATATATATATATATTAACCGGACTTAAAATGAGAAGAATTGAAATGATCAGTCCGATTATAGCGTTATGTAGTATTTCCCCGATTATGCATATCTCGATTATCCGGACATCGTAATCAGTACTTCGATTTTCCGGAATTCGATTAACCGGACTTTAAATGAAGAGAAGAATTGAAATGATCAGTCCGATTAGAGTGTCATGTCGTACTTCCTCGATTATAAATATCTCGATTATCTGGACATCGTAATCAGTACTTCGATTTTCCGGAATTCGTTTATCCGGACTTGAAATGAAGAGACGAATTGAAATCATCAGTCCGATTAGAACGTTAAATAGTACTTCCACGATTATATGTATGCCGATTATCCGGAGTTCACCCTCGGTAATCGATTTTCCGGGATTCGATTCGCCGGACTTGAATAGAAGTACTGAAATTATCCCAACATTTTTTATTGATAACAACCAGACACATTCTTATATTTCTCTTCGGAGAAGCTATTGAGAAATTAGTAAACCATTTTCAGGTTTTGAAACTTACAATTTCAAACGCCGAAGTATTGAATATAAATTGAGAACTGTTTAAGTCGGTTGATATTTCAACCGGAAGTTATCCTTACAAATGTATCCACTTCGATCCAGTTTAGCGACAGAAGAACGTGAGGCCAGCCGGAAAGAGAAAAACATTAAAGCCTTTTTTTTTCGTTAGAAATTAACTGGACGAAGCGTTTGAAAATGTTATTTTGCGATGTATATATGATAAATCTCTTTCAGAAAATGAAAACGGCATTTTTTTTTATAATTAACGTATTCAGTTATCCGGAATTTTTAATTATTCGAATATATTTTATTTTTTACTTCCTGTTCCAAGGTATCCGGACAATCGGGTAAGTACTATTATTGTTAAAATTGTGCTAAAGCTTTAAATAATTTCTGAATATTTTCCAGCAAATTTTAAAATTCCTGAATACATTGCTAAAAGAAGACAAAACGTTGATTAAAAAAAGAAATGAGTTATCCCTTCATATAAGAAATTTCTTTACTTATTTTTCTGTTGACAGAAAATATCAGAAGTTTAAAGGATTGCCAGAGACTGGAAGAATCGACCCAGAAACAGAGAAAAAAATGAAGGAACCAAGATGTGGGATGAAAGACATCAACAATGGAGTTGCGGAATACCACCTTCGTAAATAAGACATTTAATCTTCTGAGTTTAATTGTGCGCTTCTTCTTGTACAAGTATTGGCTACCAAGTGTCTGAAACACGTTTGGCACTTGTAGCTCAACTAGCGTGACTTTTAACCAGACTAAAGAAGTGATACTTTATACCTATTTAGAATTCGCTATATATATATATATATATATATATATATATATATATAACGAACTTTCTGCATGCATAGCTATTCATCTCCATAATGTCTAATTGATTCATTACTTAGACAACAAGAGATCGCCAGGCCCGACTTTTATTCAAACCTACCTTTTTATTCTGGACTTTAATATACAAGATGGCGGCTCCCGACAGACTCCGTTTATGAAGTATACTATATCTTGGCAAATTTCATTTCTTTTATTAGACGGTTGTGGCTCTCCACAACCTCATTTTATAAAGTAGAGTATGATATTTCGTCAGATTTCATTTCTTTTATTATCTGTGATTTATGATTTTTAGGAAAGATAACGGAGTAGTTTCCTGTTCGTCGTACACTATTCTAAATTTATTCCAAACTAACCTTCTATTCCGTACTTCAATGTAGACAGTTGTGGCTTTCCACAGCTTCCTTTTGTCAAGTAAAGTATGATATTTCACTAGATTTCATTTCTTTTATTATCTCTAAGTTATCATGATTTCTTGTTAAAGATAAAGGAGTGGTTTCCTGTCATCTTCTGCATTCTCTTCTTATGCATCGTACTCGTTGAACTTTAGTGAAAATCTTTTAAAAATTGAATGAAATAAATAAGGTGTGGGTAGTAATAGGTTTATCGGGCCGGAAAGTGGAATTGGCGGTCTGTGTTTAATTTCTGACTCAAAAATAAATAAAACATCAGTGTTAAAAAAAAAAAGAAGTTTTCGTTCGATATTTTAAAATAAAAGTCATGGCAATTGCGCTGATAATCTACCCCCGAGAAATGAATTTAAGCGCGCTACTAGATTGGCATCTAGGTCCCACCCTTTTACTGTTGAAATAGTTAAATGTAACCACCACTTCTACTCCAACAGTTTCTTTTCTCGCCCTTCCAGCCAGTGAAGCTCCCTTCCGTTTACTTGCTTCCCTGATAACTAGAATCTTCAAAAATTTAAATGCAACATCAATCGCCATCTTCTGTCTTCTTGTCCTTTCCTCAATCCTCGCTATTCTAAGTCTTCTCTTTCACTTTCACTCCCTGTAACCCTCTGTAAAGTTTCAAGGAATGTATATTTTATTTTTTTAAGGATTCTGTTCGCACTCTTGTCAATAAGTCTGATGTTAGCGATTTCATGCAAAAAATAATTCCAATCAATTTAAATTTGGTTTGAAATGCAGCAATATGTTTTGTTGCATATTGTAATACTAAATTTAATTTATTAGCTTGGAATTAAAAAACAAAAAGCTTCATGAAAGATTATTAAAATTTAAAATGCATAGATACCGCTTTGATTCTACTTTCTTTTTTTGGCGGGGTGGGAGAGGTTCTTACATTACTGTGACTGTATATCTTGTTCTTTTTTTGTTTTAGATTCAAAATGGCCGAAAAATGTAATCACTTGGAAGATTAGCAAATACAGTAGAACTTCAAGACTCTCTCCAACCGAACAATAGTAAGTAAATATAAATATTTTCTCTAATATTTTTCCTCCGGTCGCTGTCGTTTCGCTGACGGCAATGTCATCAAATTTTAAATTTAAACTTTGTCAATTTGAAATACTAGATTATATTTATTCAGTTTGAATAAACAAGAAGTCATAAAAATGGTTTTAAAGTTCCAGCTTAAACCGATTTTCTTCTATTTCAGTCATACTATAAGGCGCGGCCTTGAAAGGTGGTCACGTGTGACTCCACTGGTTTTTCGGGAGACAAGGGGAAAAGCCGATATTAATATTTCATTCGAGAGATGGTACCACGGTGACATACAGCCATTTGATGGAAGGGGTAAGTTCAAAGAATGGCTTTTGTTGTCTTGTTTGTTTGTTTGTTTCTTTCTTTCTTGTCTGTCTATTTTCCTTCTCTGTCATATTACTCTCTATACTCCTCTTCCTCTCTCTCAATATTTATTCTTCTTTCTAAAACCCTTTTCTTCTCCTCTTCCTCGTCTCATTCTTCTTTCTATCGCCCCTTCCTTTATTCTCTTGCTCTTTCTCTCTTCTTTCTTTCTTTCTTTTTTCTTACTTTCTTGTTTTTCACTTTGATTTCGTTTTGTCAACAACCTATTTCTTTCTTGTTTTCTTTGTAGTTTCCCCCTCTCTCGTATTTCTCTCTACCCTCCTCCTCCTCTTTTTATCACCCTTTTCCTTTCTTCGCATCCCCCCGTCTCCTATGTGTCATATTGTCCTTCTTTCTACCGCCTCCTTCCTTTATACTCTTGCTTTTCCCCTCTTCTTTCTTTCTTTCTTTCTTTCTTTCTTTCTTTCTTTCTTTCTTTCTTTCTTTCTTTCTTTCTTTCTTTCTTTGATTTCGTTTTTTCAACAACTTATTTCTTTCTCGTTTTCTTTCTCTTCTCTCCCTCTCTCATATTTCTCTTTTTACCCTTCTCCTCCTCTTCTTTCTATAACCTTTTTCCTTTCTCCGCATCCTCCTCCTCTTCGTATGTCTCATATCGTTCTTCTTTCTATCATCTCCCCCCTTTATACTCTATCTCTTTCTTTCATTAACTTTTTTTTTTTTTTTTTTCTTCTCCCTCTTTCTTAACGCATTTTCTCCCCGCTCTTTCTACCTTGACTTCCTTCTCTTCACAATATTTTTTTTCCTAGTTTTATTTATTTTTTTTTTCACCTTGTTTCTCGGGATTTTTCAGGACGAATTTTAGCCCATGCCGCCTACCCTCAATATGGTCTCACCCATTTTGATGACGACGAAATCTGGATCAATGGAAAATCGGGGGGAATTGATTTGGAGACAGTCTCTGCTCATGAATTCGGCCACGCCCTCGGCCTTGATCACTCAGAAAATCAAAGATCACTAATGTCTGCTGAATATCAAGTATTTCCCGATAACTTTAAACTTCACTGGGACGATATTGCAGGAATTCAGAGACTTTACGGTAAGCGGATTGTATTTTATTTTTTATTGGGGAGTGTCTCATCCTACACCCATCTGGTGATAATCACTCGTTATGTGTGTAGCTTTTTTAATGAGGAACTTTACTGCCATAACACAACATCTTCAAACAGCATAAAATTCAAAATATAACATCTGCAAGAGCATTAGATCTATTTCCAGTTGTGTGTTCAGTAGATGTGTAAACCAGCAAAAATAATAAAACACAACAAATAGTGTCTAAAAATTCAATATTATTCTCCTGGCAAATGTTGGTTCATTCACGCCTACAAATCAACGTTCAAATCCAAATTATTTGTCGGCTTGGTTTTTCGAACCCAAACGTTGAAGTATCAGTGGATATGGTTGGATGTGTAACATCTCACTGGCGAAATCAAAACTATACCAGACTGACATATATGACTGATACAGAAATGCCTTCCCGGCGTAAACAAATCATACATAATTATGTTGAACAGACTACTAGTAGCCTGTCAAGGCGTCTGACGCTATATCTTCTAGACCAGAGCTCAATATTGACATATTTGTTTAAGACGGAAAAACACCCATAAATAATGATATTTTCGCGTTCGAGTTTACTGCAGACCGAGAGAATGTTTTCATTTCTAAATGTATCTTTTGCTTTATGTTGCACTTGCAGGAAAGAAATCAACAAAGTTAACCACCAGTACCGCTAGAAGCACCACCCCTACAAGGACCACACCCAGAACGACCACACCAAGACGGACTCCAACAACACGCAGAACAATTACAAACAGACCAACAGGAAGCAACAGAATTTGTAATCATCCCTACGCAAGCATTGATGCAGCCATGAGAAGTAAGTCAACTCAGGTTAAACCGTGTATAGTCCACGATGAATCACCTGCTGATGGTCGGAGATTCTTCTTCTATCAGCCTGTGAAGATTTTTTACGGGGCGTAGGCCGTCCCTAGATTCAGAGAGAGAGAGAGAGAGAGAGAGAGAGAGAGAGAGAGAGAGAGAGAGAGAGAGAGAGTGATAAATGGGTCATTCACTTCACATCACAATTGCATTAAAAATATAGGATCATTTGATGTTTCCAGGTATTTTTGAGACCCACGACCCTCCACACGACCATAGCCTTCGAAAACTTTATGTTACTTCTGTGGTTTCACTGACATTAGGATATCAGCGTTATGTCCAACAGGTTTTGAATTCAGAGTTATCGTTCTTCTAGACTGGTTACCAAACAAAGCTAAGGGGCCCAATCCGCCCTGCTATTTAACTCACTGAGAAAGTTAAGAATCTGGGGCGGAGAAGAAATGGATTCCTGCCTTAGCCAAGGGTATTTGTGGCGAAATTTCGGAAAGTCGATCGCACTTCTCGATAACTGCTACACTACGAGCATGTCCGACATTCATCTCATATATGATTTCAGCTTTGTTGTTTTGAAAGCAATTGAACTCATCATTGGAGCAATAGTAAGCTTACTGATCACTACTCTACGACAGGCGCCCGAAGTAGATATTTACTCGTCATAGTTTAACTTGTCACGTCTAGGGAAGGTGTAACGAGTTTGCTGGCATCTGCTCTAAGGCAGGCGCTATAGTTACTAAATTTATTATGGTCTGGCACAAGGACACAGTAAGCGATTGATATACTCAGCATCGCACTCTGTACACTTTTGTTCTTTTGCAAATTGTTCTTCTTTTATGAGAGTGATCATGACTCTCCACAGCCTCCTACCTTTAGTAGATCTAAGCAATATTTGTCTCCTTATTATCAGCCCCAGTTCCTGTTCTGTCATTTGTTTACACAGGCTCGTTAGGCAGGCCACCCTCTGTTTCCCATTACCTCTCTTTTCTTCAATATGTCTTTTGAGTGTCAGTTTCTTCTAGCCTACTTTCCTCGTTATGTGTCCCAGAAATTTCAGCTGTCTCCTTTTAATTCTAAGTATGACTCACACTCAGACACAAAATAGAATATTGCAGCCATATTTGGGTTAGTGACAACCAATTCTCTCTTTCAAAAGTTGAAAGGATTTTATACAGCCTTTTGAGCGAGGAGATATTTTCCACCTTACAACCACTTTCCGCATAGCCGAAATACTGCAAGCCGATTACCATTCTGTCGCTATTTCAATGGAAAATGGTCTGACGAGCTACATTCCCTCGTTCCTCCAGTTACAAACTCGTTATGCCGTTATATGAATGAATGCCAAATTCTCCAAGACCTTTGTCCTCACAATGTGTCCCAGAAAGTTCAACTCTCTCTTCCTGATCCGAAACACGAGGGACCATTCCGTTCTTATTTTCCTTAAAACCTCCAGAACATTTTGTCAAATGTTTCTTTTAAAATCCTGTTTTTAAAATATCTTTTTATTTCTTTTCTCTTTTTAGTTTCTGGAAACGACTTTGTTTTTGTTGACTACCGCTATGTCATCGACGGTCGAAGTGGACATAAAATGGAAATCTCCAGCCTCTTTCCAGATGGCCCTTATATGGTACAAGCCGCTGTATATTCTGAACAGGTCCAAAAAGCTTATTTGTTTAGCTGTAAGTATGCTGTAAAGATTAATCTGATTTGTCCCATATGACCAAGTCAGAGATTTGATTTCTTGAAATATTTGCTCTTCTCTAGCTGATATAGAAAGAGCTGATGGCCGATCAGATTAATGAGAATAATTGGTGACCCCTCAGGGAGAAGCCCTTCTTCTTCTTCTTCTTCTTCTTCTTCTTCTTCTTCTTATTATTATTATTATTATTATTATTATTATTATTTATTTATTTATTTATTTATCTAGATCAGAATGTTTGGGCATACAGTCTCGATTCAGCCGGCCGATTCCATTTGATCAAGAATTTTCCCAAACTTATTTCCAACACTTACAGCCATAATCCAGAAAGTGTGATAAATTTCAATTATGGCGACGAGAGACTATTTCTCATTAAGGTTTGTACAATTCTCCCTCTCTCTCAATTCTTACTTCTTTCTTTCTTTTTTTCTTTGCCTTTTTTTTTTCTTTCATTTCTTTCTTTATATATTTTTTGCTATCCTCCTTTTGTTGTTTATTTTCATTTTTTATATTTGTTTTTTTAATTTTTGCATTATTTTCGATCTGTCTCTCTCCCTCTCTCTTTCCTTATTTAATTTTATTTCTTACTATTTCCCCTTTTTTTCTTTTCTTTTCTTTTCTTTTCTTTCTTTCCATTTCTACTTTTATTCCATTTTCTTTCTTTTCTGTATATCCTTTCTTTTCCTCTTTCATTATTTTATTTCTGTCTTTCTTGTTATCTATCTTTGCTTTATTCATTCATTATTATTTAACTTTTCCCTTTCTTTTTCTTTTCTTTCTTTCTTTTCTTTTTCTTTTAATTTCCTTCTTAATTTATTTCTTTATTTTCTTTTCGGTCTTTTTTCTCTTATTTCCTTTCTTCTTTCTTGATTTTCTTTTTTCCTTCTTTTTTTCATTATTCTTGACTTAATTTTCTCTTGTTTCTTTCTTTCGTTATTCATTCTTTCCATTCCTATTTTTATTCCGTTTTTCTTTCTTTATTGTATTTCCTTTCTTTTCCTCTTTCATTATTTTTTTTATTCTTTTTTGATGGCTGTATTTATTCTTATTTAACTTCTCTCTTTCTTTTTCTTTTCTTTTCTCCTTTATTTTTCATTCTTTCCTTCTTTTATATTTCTTTTTTTATATTTCTTTTTTCTTTTCTGTCTTTCTCTATTTTCCTTTCTTTCTTCCTTTCCTTCCTTGCCTATATTTCTTTCTTCCTTTCTTTCTTTCTTTCTTTCTTTTCTTTCGTTCTTTTCTTTTTTCTTTTCCTTTTTACATTCTTTCTTTCTTTCTTTCTTTCTTTCTTTCTTTCTTTCTAATTTTATCCGTTCTTTCTTTATTTTTCTTGTAACCAATAAAGCAGCCATTTCACCATTATTTGAACAAATATCCCTTGCCTATTTTTCGTTTCAGTCATTCATTATTTCATCCATTTTCTGATTTATTTCTTCGACAGAATGGATACTTCATGGAATTCGATCCTAAATACGAAAGCGTAACTCCCGGCAGTGGATATCGAACACGCGACTTTTTCGTCAATATTCCAGATGAGATCGACGCAACAATAGCTTCCACTGATGAAGTCTACTTCATCTCGAAAAATAAGTAAGTTGTTTTACCAATCAGATTAAGAACTTAAAGCCTCGTTACTCATTATTAGTTTAACAGGAAAACCAAGGAAGGAATTAATTCGTGTATAATATATATGAGTATATACAATCCATTGTAAAAAAAAGGCTGGAGAAATGACCAGCCCCTTATATCTCTCCAGGAAATACTTGGCTTGTTCTGCCAAGCTTTATATTTACGAGAGCCAAACCAGACTCAAAATGGAGTATTGCTGTCGTATCTGGGCAGGAGGTACTCAATCCCCACCTTTCAGCCTTGTCAGAGTTTAAAATCGTTTCCGTGGTTTTGTTGGAGAAGACATATTCTGAACTATGCAGCCTATTTCCCGCAGATGTCACATTGTAAGTCCGTCGTTACACTAACGTTAATTCTTTGGAACATGTTCAGAATAGATCCACTCTTTGGTTTCTCTCGGATCGGATCTTTTCATGTGCTTCCACGGAGTCAAATCATCCTCATTTCCCCCGTGTTTTAAATGTGAGAAGAAACTTCCACCTTGACAGCTTTTTATCCAAGAATTACATCTTTGTGGAACAGACTCCCTTGTAAATGTTCCCTTGGACAATACAATCTTGACCTTTACGTGTCAAGGGTCAATCGTTATCTTTTCTCTTAATCCGCATAACCTTCACCTCCTACTACACCTCGTTAATCATTAACAGTAGTCTTCTACCTTGAGGGGATTTCGAGCCTTATACAGAGTGAATTTTATTAGTAATACGAGTCATGAGTAGAATTTGAAGAGAATTTACGAGCAAAACATTCTGCTTTATCAGCAGAAAATGTAAACTTCTCAAATTGAGTGAAAAGTGGTGGGTAGAAAATTTATTCTTATATAATATATAATATTATAATATATCTTATACATATACTCTTATTCTTAAACAGCCACCAGTAGTCACGAGAGCCAGACTTGTTTGCCTCATTATATCAGCAAACAATGACTTAGACCCTTTGGGGTCACGTTTACAATTATTACATGCAGACAAAAATAGGCGTCTTTTGTGATCGGAACTGTTTTGCCGGTATAGCCGGAATATGTGCTTCTTGAAGTCCAGAGTTTCAGAACAGGTTGACATGAACTATTTCGGGCGTTGTATTAAGTGATTTTTAATAGTATATAATAGAACTTTAATGTTTGAGCAGGAAAACATTTACTCATCGCACTCATCCAGTAAAAAGAAATTCGATTAACAAAATACATCTTTTCTGCGGAGATAAATTTTGAGAAACTGACAATTTGTTTTATTTCCTTTTTTTTCAGGGCCTACAGAATGTCTAAAGGAAATCGCTGGGTTGATAAACAAGGGAAACCAGTCAATTTAGCTTTCAACAAATGTCGAAATTAAGGACATCAAAATTGATAAAGAGAAAGATTTCTCAAAATGACTTTCACGTCATGTAACTCAAGAACAAAACCAAGTCTTTTTTTTAATTTTAAATAAAAGAACATTTAAAAAAAATAGGAAAAAAGTTCATTGTTTTTTCTTTTTACATCTTTAGCCTCATGTTTCATCTTATGTCGATTTCAAAATATATATATATATATATATATATATATATATATATATATATATATATATATATATTTATATATATATTTAGTTGGATGTCTGCGTACGTATGAGTGGCGTTACGCCTACAGTTTTGCCTCCCACTACCATAAAACAACGATATACGCAACCATAAATAAATCCAAAATTAATCAGTTTGTCTGACGATTGCAAACAGCGTGAAACACAGGGTCACAAACTCACATCAATCCAACTAAATATGTTAGCTCTGTCACTGATATTGAGCGCATTCTGATAAGTACTGCGCATATATAATATATTGATTTTCCAAGCGTAGCTTAGATGTGGCACGAGGCCGAAAATATGGGGCTAACCATTACACCGCCTCGAGGTGTCCAAATATATAAATAATATATGTAATAAATTGCATATATATATATTTATATTTATATACATACACATTTTACACACACACACGCATATATATATATATATATATATATATATATATATATATATATATATATATATATATAGAAAAAGTTAAATTAAAAATTAAATGTTTATTTTATGAAAGTATTTATTTATTTATATATATTTTTGATATAGATATACGAAATTAAAATTAAAAAAACTTCACCTCCGTTTCCCTTATGAGAGTCTAATTTAGAAATGATGTCTGTGACCAGTGATGGAGTTATGGGCATATCCCCAGTAAATCATCTGTTCTAGTTGGGAAATCAGGTGTGGATACTCCAAAGGGGGTGTAGAATTAATTTCAACTCGGAACTAATTTCAACTCGCAACTAATTTCAACTCAGATTTTGTGCAGCATAGCACAAAGCCTCCTATCTTGTTTTGAAATTGTTTAATTTTTTTTTACATTGTAATTTGTAAAAGAGTTCTCTATTTAGGAACGTGGAATCTATGAAATCCTCGGTACACAGATTTAAAGTTCACTAAATCTGTGAAGCTTTCAAACGAAATTAAAATTTAATTTATTGATTTTCTTAAATTTTGATCAATAACGGCTTCTTCAGAAAGAGATTTTTTTACAACAAAAAAGGAACCTACTATTCTTGCTACAATTTAAATGAATAAAAGGTAAATAAAAAAAGTACCTCTTTATTCATTTGCAACAAAAAAGAACGAAAGTTGCAGAAAAAAAAAGAAGTCTGAATTATTTTATCTACTAAGGATTTTTAAGGCTAAATTTTAAAAAAGTAACACCAATTCATTGCATTTTGTTTAGGAATTCACAGAAATTGATGAATTTGATTTTAAATCGAGTTGAAATTAGTTCCGAGTTGAGATTAGTTCTGATTTGAAATTAGTTCCGAGTTGAAATTAATTCCGAGCTGAAATTAATTCTGTCACTCCACGTCGTGTGTTGAATTGGAAGAGAATTTCCGAGCAAAGCATTCGACCTTATCTGCTGTAGATGTCAGAAGTTCGAATTGATTGAATAGAGGAGGGATTGAGGATTTACTGTTGTTTAGCCACGGTTCCTCAATACGAGGCGCTATCCACTACTCCACCGTGCCTCCACACACACACACACACACACACACACACACACACACACACACACACACATATATATATATATATATATAAAGTTATATAATGAAAATTTTGGCAATCCGTATGTCCGTATGGAGAATCATAAGGAGGGTGTAATCCAGAGGCTCAATGACAAACCAGAGCAATTATTATAATCCCCAAGGATTATCCATACAGATTACCAAACTTTTCATTACTTAACCCCATATATATATATATATATATATATATATATATATATATATATATGTCTGTATATATATATATATATATATATATATATATATATATATATATATATATGATGTTTGAGTCAGTAGAGTCTCTGTTCTAGTTAAGAAATCATGTGGGTACTCTAAATGAGTCGACTGTTGAGTTGGAAGAGAATTTCCGAGCAAGGCATTAAACATTATTTGCTGTAGATGTCAGAACTTTGAATTGATTGAATACACGAGCGATTGAGGATTTGCTGTTGTTCAGCACACTCTTGCACAGCCGCCGATAATCACTATAACCGAACTTGCGAGATGCTATACGTTGTTTCATTTTATCAGCAAACAGTAACTTTGCTTCATTGAGGACACGCTTACATTCATTACGGGCAGAGCCAAAGAGACGTCGACTGTAATCAGATGTGTCGTTCTGGTACAGCCGGAAGAAGTGGTCCCACTGGGTAACAATGGCCGAGCATTCATGCGAGAACCAAGTAGATGAACGCAGTTTTTCCTTGCTCGAATGAAAGTATCAATGCTGACTTTCACATAGGAGGAGACCTCAGGCGCGAATTTTTGAACATGATGATTGAAAACTTCATTTTAAGGGACGTCACGAAGGAAATCACAGTTGATATCAGAAAGATATTCTGTTGGTAAGATGTTCTTGGCTGGTTGGGGAGCAGTAAGATATATTTAGAAACACAACCGGGTAATCAGAGTTGCCAAGAGGGCAGAGATGCGTATTACGACAAGAGACAGGGACAGTCTACTACTTGCGTGAGACAATTAATGAAACATAAAATAACGATTGTCATTGCATCTATATTTTTGAAGATAAAATTCGACTGGGAAAGAAGAAGCCGGGAGAGAATTCCACAAGTGAAAAGTGCGAGATAAGAAACTGTTAGCATGAATATATAAAACCCTTCTCCAGACAGCCTATCCGTCTTGCAACCCTTCTCAAATTTGTATTTGTTCAATCCACAGATCTCAGCTTAGTTACAGTTTCTGGGCGAAAACATTAGCACTTTTCGACGCTCAGCTGGTGTTTTACGTGATGAAAGAAAAGAATGAAATTTTGTGACTTTGTAAGAAAGCTGTTAATATTCATTCTGCCTCTTTTCTTTAAAATTTTCTAATTTTAAATTTTAGCTGAAATTTTTTTATAGATTCTTTCAGCTTTTCTCCGTTGAATTTAAGACAAATCCTGATGCTATTTTCAGAATGGTTCGAAAAAAAATCATATAGCCTCTTTCTGAAATGAAATCTTTTCTTTAATGTCGAGAAATGCCAACATTTAATAGCATTGACAGTTGTTATATTCTGTTTTATTAATTCTTGTTATTTTATTGTTCTCTCCACTTAATAAAGTTTTTTTCCCCCTCAATAACTGGCTACTCGTTTCGGAGCAAACCCTTCTCCCGACAGCCTGCCCGTCTTGATCCTATTTTCAGAATGGCTCGAAAACAAACAAACAAACAAAAAAAAAAAAAAAAAAAAAAAAGAAATCATATAGCCTCTTTCTGAAATGAAATCTTTTCTTTAATTACGGGAAATGCCAACTTGGCGGAGGGAGTAATAATGTTTGCATATTTAAGTATACACATGCAGATGCAGACAGTTATATCTGTGCTAACAGTTTTTTCTCTCGCACTTCTCGCTTGTGGAACTCTATTCCGGTTTTCCCAGTCAAATTTAATGCTCAAAAATTTAAATGCAATGACAATAGCTATCTACTATCCTCCTGGTTGCTATTTCTTTTTCCCACTCATCATTAATATTTCTGTTCCCGAATTCTACCACACCCTGTAAAATTTTGTGTCTTAGTGGCTTTACTGCCTTAAATGGGGTGATACCGAGTTGAGAAAAAAAAAAGAAAAAGACAAAAAGATAGATGTTTCTACTGTTGAGCTAGCTAGATGTAGCGGTAAATTCTATGTTAACTGTTTCTTCACCCGCACTTCTCACTTGTGGAACTCTCTTCCGGCTTTCCCAGTCCAATTTTATCTTCAAAAAAGATGACAATCGTTATTTTCTGTGTTATTAATTTTTGTTCTTTTATTGTAATCTCTCTCCTTATTAATGCTTCTTTCTCATATTTGCTAACACTCAGTAAGCTGTTGTGGCTTAGTGGCTTTATTGTCTGGCTTGGGGTGAAATGATTTAAAGAAATGAAATATATATATATATATATATATATATTAATGTGGTCTAAAATTTTTAAAGTGAAAATTTCACTGTGTTTTCATCTGAAATGAAGAAAATATGAAATTTAATCAAAATAGTCAAAATATATGGAAAAAAGAAGCCGAATGTTGATTAAAATATCACATTGCTTTTTTCATGGATCTAAACTCTAATTATAGACTATAATGTTTTGAAAGTGAAAAATTCACTTAAATTCAGAGACGGATATGCAATGTGATAGGTCCTGATCTGGAATCTCATCTACAGTGACTTTCTCACAGATTTGCTGTGTCTCCCCTCTGTCTTTTCTACAAATACTTTCACGGTAACTGCTCCGACAAGATACTTTCGCTGGTTCCCAAACTACATGAATTTAAGCGTGCTACTAGGTTTCATTATTTCACTGTCGAAACTGTTAAATGTAGCCGTCTCTTCTACTCCAATAGCTTCATCTCTCTCACTTTCCGTCTGTGGAACTCCCTTCCTCTTACTTGCGTCACTGATACTTATAATCATCAATTATTCAAATGCAATGTCAATCGACATCTTCAGATGCCTTGATCTAATTCTTCGTCCTTCTCTTCATCCTTTCCGTCATCACGCCTCTTTACTCTTGCTCCCACTCTCTGTAACACCTTGCGTGTGCTAGTGACACTCCCGCCTTGCTTGGGTCAAAATGCTTAAAAAATACGTTGAAAAATTGGCAAGTTTTCATCTTAAATCAAGAAAATACAAATTTGAGTGGAAATAGTCACAATAAGCCGACAAAAAGAAGGCGTAGTTATAAGCTGAAGCAAGAGCAATATGACTTAATATTATTATGGGATGGTCAAGCATTTAATATATGTCAAGGAAATAAACTTTCTGTAG